GTGGGGGGGGGGGGGGGGGCGCCTGGGTTGCTGCGGACCTCCACCCAAGGCCTGGCCTCATCCCCTCATGGCTCAAGTGGGTCACCCACCTCGCCTGTGTGTCCCCGAGACCCAGGGCGACAGGTTGGACCAGACCAGCCGGCCCAGAAGCTCTGTGGAAGCGGCTGTGTAGGAGGGTGTGTCCGAGGCGGGTTTGAGCAGCGATCCAGATGGGGGGGAGTTGATAGGGTTTGAAGGGGCGTGAGCACTGGGCTTTTACAGGGAGTTGTTTCTGCTTCTCTGATGGCCCTGAGCGTTCCGCCGCCACTGATCGGTCTCAGCTGAGTACTTCAGCGTCTGACCTTAGCCCGCCTGCATTTCTTTCTGTAGAAAGGTTACTCGAAGGCGTGAGGACCCAGAAGCTGGGCTGAGGTTTCTCGGTGGTGAATTTGAGAGGACGGTGGTTTTTCCTGGGTCTCTGGGGCCTTGGAGCCTTCCTCTTCCTTGGGCCTTGGCTCTGCGCCCTGGCCTCCACCCTGGGCCCACGCTTCAGAAGCAGGCTTCTCCCGCGTGCTCAGAGCCTGAGGCTGGCGGGCGGCTCTTTGTGCTGTAGCCTCGCTTGTCCACTCTCCATCCCCTCTCAGGCCCTGCCCCAGCCCTCAGGACCCCACGTCTGTCTCCTTGTGCCTCTTGGTGGGAGGAGGAGGAAAAGGGGCTGTTTCAGGCTTTCTCTCCAGGATAATCAGGGTTTGTTGGATTGGCTCACATTTAAAACCACCTGTGGCGCACAGAAGAGCCTCTCAGGTCTTCAGGACGCTGCCTGCTTTAGGAAAAGGAAGCCACTAAACCCTCCCTCCTTGGAGTCACAGGATCTTACATCTGGGGAGACTGGAATTCACGCTGGTTTAGTGGTTCTGCACCTGCTTAGGGCGCCTGGGCACGTAAGAAACACCCAAGCCTGGCCCCGCCCCAGGGCAGCGAAGTCAGGACCTTGGGAGGGGGCCTGGGCATCGTCCTCGGTGTGGGAAGGACAGACAAACCTGCAGGTGATCTAATGCACCTGGGCCCAGAGCTCTGAGCCCTGATCACAGTCCAATCCGAGGCCCCACTGGGTAGCTTCTTGATTTGAGGCAAATAACTAAACCTGAGCTCTCTTCTTTCCATTGGAAATGTACGACTCCCTGTTTAGCAGATTAAACGGCCTAACTGAACGTGCCTGGCACAGACTAGGTGAGCGCACCCACTCTGCTGTATTTATGTGTATTTTTCATTCCTATAGTCAGACACTGGAGTCCTGTTTTCCTAGCTCCTAAATAGTGGAACCAAGATCAGAACCCACTGTTTTGTTCTTTGGTCCCAGTGCCCTGGAGTCCCCCCAGCCTTCGTGAAGGGGCACCTATACCAGCCACTCGCCCTGGGCAAGCTTGAGTCATTGTTTTAGTCAGAGCTTTTCAGAGTCATGGGGACCCTCCCATTTCAAGGCAGAGGTTCCACAGGAGCGTAGAGATGCAGTCGTGGCAAAATGGGAACTGTCGCCCAGACCGCATGACAGGCTTGTGGAAAGGACAAGGTGAGGTTTCCGGAGGAGTCTGTTTTTCAGCAGTTTCCAGTTTGTGCAGCTGACCCTTTGCACGGGGCTAAGTTCTTGATGGTGCGGCTTCCTTCTGCCCAGCACTGAGATCCCCTCTCCCTTCCCAGTATTCACCCCTGACCCCACCCCCATCAGCTTCACAATAAGGGACCAGATGCTTCTGGATTCTGCTATGAGAGGCTCAGTCAGGTGTGGCCACAAGAGGAAAGCAAAGCTCGTTACGCTCTCGGGTCCTAGAGGCAGGGCCACGCCCGGCACGTGGGGGCATGGCCCCGGGGGGTCAGGGGGCAGAGGACAGGACGGAGGGTGGGGATTGAGGCCACGGCCTTTACTAGGGTTTCCAGGGAAAAACAGGGCGGGGTGAGCACATCGGATTGGCTGCTTTTAGTGATTTTGCTGGGCTTTGGGTGACAGGGCTGCCCCGAGCCACCAGGCACCCGGCCTGGATGGTCCGGGCAGAGGAGTGTCACCTCCCCAGGGGCAGGGCAGGCGGAGGAGGCCGGGCCTGGCTGGGCTGTCGGCATAGGTCACAGGCGAGCTCCTGGCTGGGCCCTTGGCTGGCAGGGGGTTGTCTCTCCCCAGCCAGGTGGGACTTCAGATGTCAGAGCATCACAGTAGACAGAAATATACACACACACACACACACACACACACACACACACACACACACACCCACACACACACA